AGTTTTCTTTGAAATGCGGTATGATAATAGCTAACACAGCAGGGTTTCGTTAAACAGTAAGTTACGACGTTTCAGTCCTGATAATTTTTCTTACTCTGCATTCCATGTCCTGATCGCTGCTTTGTCTTTTTTCATATAAGAATAATTTTTCATATAATAATAATTAAGAATTATTTCTTAATGAAATACACTATCATTCAAAAATTGGCTCTCATGCTGGTTATTGTATTGTAAATACAACACGAACTTATCTTATTTATCTGTACGTACGGTAGCGGGCAGCTTTATTTTGTCTATTTTGATACACATTTATCTATCTTTCGTTCACTACTTGTCTTCAGTCATCGTCACCCGCGATAGCTATAAATCACGTTTATGCCAGTTTGTACCAGAATATGGATGAATTTCTAAAGTAATACATCTAAACTTTTGTTCCTGTAAATGATCAAGGCACTTATATTAATGAATTAACTGCACTTTATGTCATGCTAAGCGACCATCGCTATAACTGTAACGATATTCATAACTGCCATCATGATAGGCAAGATGACAATGATGTTCGTAATTATGGTCTTTATTTCCATTGTGATGGTGCATAATGAGTCACCATCATGCTTTTGATTTGAATACAGTGGATGATGACGAAAATCTTGGTAGTGGTAATCATGATAATGATAATTATTATGATAACAGTGGTAATCACAGCCATCGTTTTACTGCGATCATGATGATGAGACTGATGACGGCCATTTGGATTATAACTGTTATTAGATATTACTATATTATCATGGATATTATCATGATCATCATCCAAAGTATGATCTTTTCTATCATAATCCTTCTCATATTACTAAACGTGTAACAGTCTGAAACTGCACTTTGTGCCCTGCCCAGTTAAATACATGTACATATGCGTGACATTCTGATGTGAAGTCGTTCCTTTTGCTAACGTTCAGGATTCAGAAGACGATGTTGTCATGTGGAGTCACAGTATTCGAAATCATTTATAACATTAAGTGATATACAAGATACCTTTAATCACAGTCATAATCATCCTCAGTGTTAAGTTGATTGGCATAAGGATAATTGTCAGCATGGATTGTGACAATCATAATTGATTTCTTGATAATATCCATGATAATAATGATAATCAGAATTATCGTCGTGCTTGTCATTATGGAGATGAGAGACTGATTGCTACCATTTTGACTATGATCATTGTTATTGAGTTTAACATTATAATCAAATCATTGTAATATACATGCTTATCAATCATTTTTTGAAACTCATTACCAAGTCGAATGCGATGATTAAATCGATAAGAAACGACAGTAAACCTCGAAATT